TACACCTTGTTAGTAGCTTGTACCTGCGATTGTTGATCAGTTAGTACACTGTAAGAAAAATATCTAGAAAAATGATAAAGGTACTAGTAATTTTCCAGGACATTATCTGTTATCCATTATCCGTTGTAACCCTGTAACCCGAAAACACAAAATACAATGCGTAATTTAAAATGCAGTTAAAAACCTGTGATTTATTTTCTTAGAGTGTAGCATACTGACTACTAATACACTGCTTAAAACTATAGTTGTTCAGAATGTGTAGTTTTACTAGTTCACTAGCTAATAAAAAAACTTGTAATCGTTCAAAAGTGTTCAATGTTGTATATAAAAGTAGTTATTTATATTTTAACATTATATTATGCATTTATATTATTTTACGAACAAATCTAAATTAACAATATATATTTTTGCTGAGATTTGATGTAGTGACACAATTTTGCGTCGTGATTACGTAATGACGTCATCGCGCAATGACATCACAACGTCATTTAGCAACTTTTAGCAACAAATCGCCCTTCCTTTAGCAACTTCCCCTGAAAACTAGTTGGCAACACTGAACAGAGGACGAACACAGTTTCTGCCAATCTTGCGTAGAGCACTGCATCCGAATACCCAGTGTGTTTGGAGGGGTTTTAAAATAAACAATGCACACATAATACACCGTGGCTGGGTAACTTTTGATGCACTATGTGTTCGTGTTGTTTACATTAAGTACATGCACTTGCGTGTCCATTTGCAACAATACAGACATTTGATTTTATTTTACTTACCGCCTGCGGGTTCGACTCATGACCGGGATCTTTTATTTCTGGGATCGCTGCATCTTTCATTTTCAAACGATCTGCAAACCCAGCGTCAAACTGGGCCTTGTTTGTAAAACATTCATCACTGAAATGACGGGAACAAACAAACACATGCGTGCAACGCCGTTGCTGCCCCGGGAAAACACACCGCATCCACTGCTCCCTTAACGCTGGGTTCTTTGGGAAGCTGAACAAGCTTATCTTTCCCTCGCAACCAAAAACACACTTTTTTGGTGACATTGTTGAAATCGTAATCTAGAAACAAGATGAGAAATCCTCCTGGAGCCAGTCCTGTGCTCTTGCTCTCTCTGTGTTTGATGTGTGCGCATGCGCTTCTGGGAGAAGTGCCCATACAAGGAGTCCCGCCCTTTATGACGTAATAGAGGGCCATACTGTAAAAAAACGTATTTTATTATTTATTTACTTTTTTGTTATTATAGATAATTTGTATCTTGATGGTTGTTTTATTTTTTGTATACTGTTTTTTTTATAGCATTAATAAAAAAACATTTCAAACTGGTTAAGCTGAGAAAAAAAGCAATAACAACCATATTTGTAATATTTTTCAAAAATAAAATTAAATATCTCCTAGGCAAGGCAAGTTTATTTATATAGCACATTTCATACACAATGGTAATTCAAAGTGCTTTACATAAAAGGAAGTAAAATTCAGACGAAATTCAGACTTCGCCATCAGACGAAGTCAAGATCACAAAAAATGATCATTAATATTCACGCAAAAGTATTTTCCCAGAACATGAGTTTTGCTATTTAGAACACAATTTAAAGCGGAATTGTCATGCGCCAAGCAGTCCTCGCTGTGATTAAAACAGTAAATCACATACCACAGGAAAATTGGTCGAAAGCAGCACATCCACATTTAAATACATATACAAATTTGGTCATTTCTGGATAATAATTTCATGAAATTTCAGTGCTTAACTTCATTATTCAGAGTGTCATATTTAATCTAAATGTGTATGTCAAATGTAAAACAGACTTTAAAATCATTCTGTTTGCTTCCTTATTTTGCTCATTCCAGTAAAAGAGTGCGTACGCATGGTCTAGAGTGTCCGTACAGTGCGCACATATTTACGCCTAGTTTATTTTATATAAATCCCTATATGTGTGTGGAAAATTGCGTACACACAAGCGAAACTACTTTGTTTGGCCTTCCAAAAGAGGACACGACTAGAAATCAGTGGTTAAGTTGTATTTACAACACTGTTCCAGAACACTTCAACCCAAATATTCTGCCTCGTTTATAATGGGTTTTAATGTTTTTGTCTCGTCGCTCCGGTGTCCTGACATTTATCCTACCCGTCAAGATTGTCCTACCAGGGTTTACTGAGCTTTTCAGAAAGGCGGGGCATAGAGGAGCAACAATAATGTACAGTATGTGGAAAATAATGTGTTTTTTTAACTTTAAACTGCATAAACACATTTCATTACACCAAATACACAAAATAATCTTCTTTTTAGCAACACCATATGACCCCTTTAAACACTGTATAACATTTGTATAAAATACAATTCTGCATTTACCCTTCTAAATCTTTAATACCAAGATTCACTGATATTGATGATGTATGTTGTATTTTTTGACTGTAAAGTCATAAATAGGTTTTGGATAGATTTGGCAGAATTTATATTTAATGTAACGAATATTAATTATTGCTTTACTTTAAAGAATGTTATCTTGTATTATGAAAACAAAAGCAATAAAGATCTAGAATTTAGTTAACCTTTTTTATTTTATTAGCAAAATTTCACATACATAAACAAAAATATCTTAATTCATCTCCTATGTTAAATTTGTTTTGTATTGATTTAGACTGTTTCTTCAATAAGACAAAAAAAGATAAAAAGTCTAGATAAGATAAGATAAAAAATAAGATAAAAAAGTCTGTGACATGTTTAAAATATTATGATACAATCTTCAATCCCCCTGGTACTTAGTAATGTCATTGTTAAAATTGAATGTGTGCTATGCTTTGTTTGTTTATAATTTTTGTATTGTTATTATTATTATTTGTATGTTCCTTTTTCTGCATTAAAAAAAAAAAAACTTGTGCATTTGGCACAGAAATACTCCGTCATATGTCCAGCTTGTTTTTTTGTTGTTGTTTTTTTTAACATTGGTCATGTTTAGCATGAGAATCCAACTATGTAAGAATGCATGAAATAGCATTAGACCCCCACTGTAATGATAAAAATGTGCGGCATTTGCAGCCAGCGGGTGATTGTTGGAAAATGGGTAGGACACAAAAACAGTGATAGACATAATGATTAGTTTAACCCGTTTTCAGTAATAGTGAAGTCATACTTAAGAGCCGATATTATGGACATAGAGTTGTAGAGCTGTGTCTGAGATAATTTACCTGAGTTCAGGAAACTGCTGGTGTCTGGGGCGTATTTCATCCAAATAAAATAAATAAATTAGTCAATGTCAACTCTGTTACCGTTAAACTCTGTTACCAATATATAGTGACAGTGTTGCCAGTATGTAGCAGAATTAACAGTCATACACAGAGAAACACACACACGTATATATGTAATTTCTGTTACAAACTGTCAACACTGTCACTGGCAACATTGGTAACAGAGTTGACTGCCTAATTTTGACAACAAGAAATAATCCCAAGAATGGCGAGAAGAGTTGTTGTATGCTTTTCCCTGAATGATTCCCTTGGTGCTCAGGAGGGTAGAACTGGTCCATCACAAAGTTTTGCTTGTGGCCCCAAGATGGCCAAAGAAACACTGGTTCCCAATTCTTGTACGTGTGGTTCAAGGTCGTCATTGGCAGCAACCAAGGAGAATCGATCTCCTGTCTCAGGCGGAGGGACAAATTTGGCACCAGAGGCTAGAGACTCTACAACTGTGGGTTTGGCCTCTGTTCAGTCCCTCCCTAAGGGCTTAGATGAAGCTGTACTGAGGACAACAAATAGTTCTAAGGCATCCTCTACTTGGAGTAACTATTCTAGCAAGTGGCAAATATTCTCTCATGGTGTTAAGACCATGAGCTAGATGCTGCCAATTGTGACACCAGTTGTGTTCTCCGGCTCCTTTAGTCATTGTTGGATTCAGGGAAATCGGTTAATACAGTAAAGGCCTACATTGCAGCCATCTCACATTTTCATTCTTTAGTGGAAGGTGTAAGTATTGGTAAACACTCTTTAGTGTCTCAATCCCTTAAGGGTGCGCACCGTTTATGCCCAGAGAGGGTTATAAGATCACCCGCTTGGGATCTTACTATTATTTTGCGTTCACTGGTCAAAGTACCTTTTGAACCTTTGGTTTCAAGCCGATCTAAAGTTCCTGACAGTCTTCTTCCTGGCAATATGTTCAGCTAAGAGGGTTAGTGAATTGCACTCTTCATCAGTCAGCGAAGACTGTTTGAGATGTTCCCCAAAAAATAACCAAATAGGAACCATATGGGAACGTTAAGGGAACATTCTGTGTTTTTTGAGCAGGTATTGTGTACAATGTTAATAACTCCCGCAAGTGCCACGTTCATAATGTGGTAAATTCCCACTCCCATTTACTTAAGTATTAGAGAGAGATGCGATTGGCACTGCCGCATCTCTCTCTGCCACAGCTTGTTGACTCCTGATGATTTTAAGGGCGAGACGCATGCTGTGAAAGTGTGTTGGGAACGGGGGTTGAGGATCCAAGTGCAGAGCTTTTATTTTCACGTGGTCACAATCAGGCATGGGTCAGACAATGGCAAACAGGTATGTAGAAGACAAGACAAGAGCAGTACGGTAAACAAGCGAGGGTCAATCGACGGCAAGCGTAATCCAACAGGGTGAGACTAGAGAGATAATCCGGGTACAAGGCAAAAGTCCAGGCAGGGGCAAACAGAGTCCGAACGACCAGACGAAAGGGGTAATCCGAAATACACAGGCAATGATCAGAACACGAGAAAACAGACAAGGCAAGACTAAGATTAGACTAGGAAACTAAAGCAGGCTCCATAAAGTAGCTATCAGCTATAACAGTGATAAACGCTAAACAATACTCTGCGATTTGAGAAGGATCTGAGTGGGTGTTATATAGTGTGTCTGTGATTGGTTACAGCTGTGTGCAATCAGTGCAATGGATGATGGGAAATGCAGTCCAGGGTAACGTGCAACAGTCTGTGTGGTGTGAGAGTCAATATGATGGAAGGGCGACCTCTGGTGGTAATTGGATGGAAGTCCATGAACCGGATTCGTGACAGAGCCCCCCCCAAGGAGCAGCTTCCAGACGTTCCCCACTCAATATAATCCAGGAGGGCGGTGGAGCGGAGGCGGAACAGGGGGAGGGATGGAAGGCCAGGTCCATGTGGAAGTGGAGAGACCGGGGACTGAGGCAGGGCCGGCAGAGCAGAGCACCAAGGTGGAGCAGGGAACCAGGGTGGAACCTTCGGAGCAGGGAACCAGGGCGGAACAGGGAGCCAGAGTGGAGCCGGTGGAGCAGAGGACCAGGGCGGAACATAGAGCCAGAGCGGAATCGGCAGAACAGGTGGAGCTGAGGACCACCACAGCAGAGCAGACAGGTCCAGAGATCCCCACGGCGGAGCAGAAGCCTACCAGGGCGGAGCAGACGGAGCAGAAGACCTCCACGGCAGAGCAGACGGAGCAGAGAACCACTACTGCGGAGCAGACAGAGCAGAAACTCCTGGTAGAGATTGGGACCTAGGGAAAACTGAGACACAAGAGACAGACAGAGCATATACGGTCTCAAGGACCGAGGCAGGGGACACAAAAAGCTCATCAATGTTTTCTCTGCTGACAACTGAACGAGCAGAAAGTTCATCATTGGAATCATTGGCAACGACTGGTTGAGTTAACAGTTTACAACTAGATTCATTGGCTGAAACCGGACAGGAAGACGGTTCAAAATCTGGCTCATTGACTGAAACTGGACAGACAGTTCATAAATGGGCTCACAGACTGAAACTGGACAAGCAGACAATTCAAAATCAGACTCTTTGATCGAAACGGAACAGACATATGGTTCAAAATTAGACTTATTGACTGAGACAGGATAGATAGTCAGTTCATTAGTGGTTTCTTTGATACTGATAGGGGTAATGGGACAGACATAGAGTGCATTTGTAGTTTCTGAGCTCATGACAGGCAGGGTTAAGAGTTCAAAGGTGGGTCTTTGGGCTGTGACAATGCTACTAGAGCCTTCAGGAGCTCAGGTAAGGTTTCTGGGGTCGTGACTGGACTAGTGGGGCAAGTAACAGGTTCATAGATTGAAACTGGACCGACGGATGGTTCAAAATCAGACTCGTTAACTGAAATCAGATTAGCAGACAGTTCAACACAGGATGT